TGCATTTAGTGCTATAAAGTAATAGCCTGAGGCGCATGGTAGATGCTGGCAGCAGTATTTTGTAGTTTAATTGCTATACTTAACATATTAGTTCGATGTATAAAAATTGTCATTTCGAGGAAGATAAATTCTTTGATCGGCTCGTTTAGAAGAGTAATAAAAATTGCTTTTTCACAATTTCTGATATCAGCCGAAATAAACCGCCTCGTAAACAGCATAAGACAAAAGCAACACTGAATCTTACAATGCGTATGCATAAGTGCATAACATAAACATTAACACGAACCGACAGTGGTGGTGATCGAAACAAAGACTTGCAATTTGCTTCACTGAGGCAACCAATATCTGCAACGTAGTAAAGCACGAGCCTGAATTCGCTAAAAGACATACCGCAAACAGAGAAGCAAACAAATTATTCCGGAGGGAGTCGTTCTTACCAGTGCGTCGCATTTAGTGCTGTCTTCGACATCCCCAACAGATGCAATACTGGATAAACTCCACTCTCAAGAAAGCGACGAATTGGCAATGCAGCTTGTAGCAACGGCTAAACAGCAAGCTTGACATGTCCGGGTTGTCCTGGCGCATGGTTGAATCGCTAATTCTCGCACACTTTTAAGGGCGTTCTTATTTTGGCACTTGTACGCAAAACATTATCGGTACACCCACGCCATCGCCACTAAGAACAGGAAAATGTGGTCAAGTCGGTAATGGAAAGAGCAACACCAAAGCCACGCGATCAGCCGCTTCGTGGCTGATGCGAACTGCGAACATGTGGAACACCGAGGAGAAATTACTGCACTCTTGCGATAAAGCTGTAGCGCTACAAGAGGGCACCACCACGCTTTGTGTAGAGCGCACACAGCGTTGCCCCTGTATTTCCAAACGCTTGTCAACTCAATGTACGTCCTTCATTTGACAGAGTTGAGCTAAGCCCGATGCTGCCCACAGAACGGCGCTCCCATCGACTTTCTCAAATCAAGGTGGAGCGTTATGTGAAGGCACGTTCTAGAGTACAGGGATAAGCGTGCTTAATGAAATGACTTGTGGCACGCTGTTCTTTTAAATTCCTGAATTTAGCTACCTCTTTTTTTTTTTGGGGGGGGGGGGGGGTAGGGATGGGGATGTTGGTGAAGCGTAAAGGCGAGGTGCGCATCAAGCTTTATGGTCAACGTTGCATTCACTTTTTTAGAGACAATCCAGATAACAATTTCGCAAACATATTCGATAAACTAAATGTCAAGCGATATCTGGAATGACGTATTGCTCGTGAGGCACGCAGAAGAGTCAAATACTCTAAAGGCAAGCGTTACGATAGTTTTTGGAAACGACAATATGCGTTAGTAGGTATGGTCGCAATGGACGTAGTGCGTCACAAGTGATCGACTCGGGCACGTAGCTTTAAAATATCACGCTCGGAATAGTGTCGCGTCTGAATAAAAAAAAATGCCGTGCCTCATACTTGCCCTCGTCCTCATCTTTAAAACCACAGTGAAACAACTTGTACAGCTAATATTGCTACTCAATACGACTGGATCTATCACAGCCTTCATATGTTTAAGAAAATACGCGAAATTAGTTTTTCACTCACGTGTGATGTGCTACAACAACATTGTGTGTCAGGTACAGTATAAATATAAGTTGAATAATTGCGGTTTGAGGCACGATAAGTTATTACAGAGCTTTCGGATTGCGTACGCTAAGTTAGCAGGCTTTGTGGACGTAGCGTTTGCGTATGTGCGCCTAATGAATTTTTGAATAGCATTTGCACCCCGCAAACGCTGACGCACGCTCGAGTCACGCAACGAGGCGTTGCGGACCTTAATTGCAGGCCGCATGCTATTTCGGATTCTTTACGGGTGTAACACGAACGATAACGGCGGTTAGTGTTGTGACGCATGCGCTATGGTAGCAACCGCACCAGATAGCAGTTTGCGTACGCTATTCGAAAACTCCCCATTGCCTTGAACCGGCGCAGCATTCAGCCGAATGCAGCGGGCGGGCGCGCACGGATGCCTCCTCACTGGCCGTGGCCACCCTGGCAGGTATTTTTTTTCCTAAAGGAAACTGTGAGCAAAGTATCGCCACAAGAAAAGCGTTAAAGTACTCTGTTCATACTGTTATTTGGTAGCAAAGATGCGCATGAAAGCCAGTGAGCAGTCACGCTTAACATTAATGGTGATTCGCGCAGAACGAACTGCAGCAGTCACAACTTCGCTTCTATGTCACATCTGCGTGATTCTACAGCTGAAAAGAATGCTGAAGTACAAAACAATCTGTCGCTTATTAGTGAAATGCCCTATGAGGATGCCCAGAACACCACGCTTTCTGCAAGAATATGCTTAGAAAGCGAAAAAACGCACAACAACAAAATGTGGGTGTTGACGCCCCTTTGAAGTTTCAGAAGCACTCACCGTGAGATAACATATTTCGATGGCACGTACTGGAAGCTACGTATTTTCTGTTAGGCGAAAATAAGGTAAATTTTCTTCTGAGAAGGCCATAGGCTTACAAAGCAAGTTTTAAGAAACTTTGTTGCACCAACGGCGCCAAAATATGCTAAATGCACTTTCAAACCTGTGACGTCGCTCGTTTAGTGTTCGGCGCAAAATTTCGAAATGACACCATGAACTGCGTTTTCATCTTTATTAACAAACATATTACGGTCAAATTTAGCACGTTACAATTGCTGAATTGCTAGGATACAATTTATAAATCAAACCAATGAATGGTTTCACTTTAGTGTCTTCTTAAAATGAGTCTCACTTTAAATATAGTACTGCAATTGCTGGATTGAAGCATGGCAGCGATCGCACTTTAAGCACTTCTATTCCTGTCATCTTCAATCCCTGTGCCCACTGCCTTTACTACAATACAATAATAAAATTTTGGGCATTGTGTGCCAGAACCACAATACGATTATCGTGATTTTGTGTCAGCTCAGACTACAGCATTCAGTCGCTCCAGCGGAAAGTATGTCATTCCAATCCCTATATAGTGCTCGAGCACTGAGTGACAATCTTGCTAAGAGATAAGAGAATCGTCGTTTTGCGTACACTGATATAGCGAATCTCACGTTAGAAGTGAGGCTACTCGGAAAGAGAGAGAGAATCAACGGAGAAACTGTGAGGTTAATCAGGTTGCAACCTGTTCGCTATGGGGGAAGAGGGATGAATTGAGTAGAGAAGGGAGGAAAATGGAGGGTAAGTAATACGATCACACGCATGACAGCGTGTGTTGCGCATGCCCAGAAGGTCATAAAGCTGCAAACTGTCACACAGTACGCGCCTACATAGTCTGCTTAGATTAAAAATAAATTATAAGCACACAAACAGATGATGACCAAAAAACACACATGATGCACAGGCGTGATTTTTTTTTTCGCACCTGTGTATAGTGCATGTTCTTTTTTTGTCCTTGCCTACTCGTGCACTTCGAAAAAGTTTATACTAACAAACCCACACCACCGTAACTGTATCTAACATGAAGTACACTGCATTCCATGATGTTAAAGAAGGCTTGCAAGGACTGGCTCCAAGATATCCAAAACTCGCAGTGCGCTTCGAGCTGATGGGGTTGTCAATCCGATAAGGAGTGTGCGCATTGTGCTTATCAATGATCTCAACACAGCCATGACACATGTGTCTTGCTAACGGAGATCCTTAATCAAATCTTGTGTTATCTCTTCACGGTCATCTCAAAGAACTTGGTGATAGCAGTATTCTGAGCAAGTCGATAGTTAATCTTTTTTTCGTCATATGACTGCGCGGCAAAGAAGACACGAACAAAAGAGAAGTCATACGTGGAAGCCGGAAACAACGCAAAGCGTTTGCTTCAGTCTATTCGAGCTGTTTAAGCGCACCAACGCTGTATTTGCCGGCGTCTGCGAAATTTGAGCAAAATGCCATCATATTTGTCTGTGCATTTGACACAAAGCTTGATAAGAACGAGTTCATGAATAAACAAATATTATTTCACTGTAGAAAGACAGTGAAATGGATTGATTGACTGGTATGTGGGGTTTAACGTCCAAAAACCACCATATGATTATGAGAAACGCCGCAGTAGAGGGCTCCGGAAGTTTCGACCACCTGGAGTTCTTTAACGTGCACTTATATCTGAGCACATGGGCCTACAACATTTCCGCCTCCATCGGACATGCAGCCGCCGCAGCTGGGATTCGATCCCACGACCTGCGGGTCAGAAGCCGAGTACCTTAGCCACTAGACCACCACGGCGGGGGGACAGTGAAATATAGAAGCCTAATCTGCAGAGCTTTCTAGTGTATTATTATTTGTAAGAATAATCATCCTATTTGGTGAAAATCTTGCATTCTTAAATGTAAAAGAAAAGTCACTGATTTCGTTATTACGGCGCGTATTTGGGCATTTAACCATGCGGAGAGAGAATAAGTTGAGGGAAAGGCAGGGAGGTTAACCAGAAATTGGAGGGTCCGGTTTGCTACCCTGCACTAAATGTAGCGGAAATGAGGAATAAAGATGGGAAAGAAAGCGAACAGCGAAATAAACGCATGATAGAGATAAGAAAAAAAGTGAGCTGGGGTGCTATAGCCTATTCAAAAGGCCACTGTCAGAATCCAAATGCGTTCATAGCTCCGAAGACGGCCGCCTTCCTCACACACACACACCGTTTTACGTGAAGAGTCATAAAAATCACTTTCACGTGATTAGAACGGAGAGTTTTTACGCCACGCACGAAAATAAATTGCCTCATGCATCATGCAATTAGCGTTAGTTTTCGCCATTGTTACTGAATAGCTGCATTTCATATTGACGCGGATGTCACCGTTCCCTTTCGAGACTTCTCTTTTTCAGCGTTTTATGAAAACTCTTTTTCTCAAGCACCTTTTTCACAGTTATAGTTTTTTAGTGTTACACCCAGACCTTTCCTTTAGCTGGCATACTAACTATAGTCTTCACAGCGTGCGACCCCAGCAATTTCACCGTGCATTTGTCGAAACACTTAGCTTGCTCTCAGACAAATTCACAACATCTTAAAACCTTTATTTGTACCTGCTTCAAGGTGTGCGCTCCACGAACTTTTTTTTTTCATCTTTACATGTATTCTGAGGGAAAACCTGCATATGTTCTTGTAATACTTCGAGCCATAACATGAAAACCAAAGTGGGAAAGCAAGAGATGTTTTTGTCGGTCGGCTCTTCTTCTGTGAATATAAGTTGTGACTAGATATAAGCAGCTTCATTTAGCGCAGAGACTGGCCATCTTCTCATTTAAGAAGGCGAACGCTGCTTTGCTCCCGATGAACACTCGGACTACTACGCTTCCGCTCGTTGGTTAGAATCGAAGATGAAGGTTTTCAGTTCCATCGTTGTCGCAGGATTCTGTGGAAAAAAAGTGCCAAAGCTTTAGTTCGAGCAAGCAAAAAATAAAGCCTGCTCCAAATCAATCACTGAAGATTTCTGCATAATAATAATAATAATAATAATAATAATAATAATAATAATAATAATAATAATAATAATAATAATAATAATAATAATAATAATAATAATAGGAATGGAAAGAACTGCAATTTGAAGACCCAAAACTACGATGTGATCATTAGGCGCACTGTAACGAAAGGCTCCAGAAATATCTACCACCTCTGGTTCTTTAGTGAGGACCTCAATATAAGTACACCAACCTCAGCACAGTGGAAGTATACTGATCTCTAGAACGTGCTACCGTCACGATCGAGATTGAATCCTCAGCGTTCTGGTCAGCAGGCGAACATCGTAAACAGTGTACCACTGCTGTGGCTGCTTATTATTGCCATGTGGCTTTTGAAATAACATAGTTGATCACTCAAAATTCAGAGCAATCACTACGATTTGTTCTTTCACGATAATTTATTGCAGCTCGATAAATATATGTGAGTCATAAATGCCCACTTTTACGTCTTGAACGAACGTGGTGGACGTCATCGTTTAAAATGCGGAAAAGTTTTGGTAGTCATAAAGCTACGGAGGAAATAAATTCAGTGAGCGTCATGTCTTTAGTAATTTAGCTAAAGTACAAGCTTAGAATAAGGGCGGCAGAGTTGCCAAGTCACACTTGCTAAGATTCATGGTTTTTTACCATTAACGTGCAGACGATTCAACTTTTCATGGCGCAGCTCGCATACGTATACAATATACCAGATTTTGACGATGGCTTACTAGGCTCACAATACAATACATATATGTGTAGATGCTAGAGAAAAAATTATAGCGACGCAATGCAATAGCTGAAAGGAGTAGCAAAGTTGGGCCCGTATTCTAAAGTCTATCTTCTTCATTCTACTGTGAGGCTGTCCTAGGCTAGCCTGCAACCTAGTAGCAGACGTTCACGAAAAATCTATCGGGTCCCTTGCCTCAGCAGATAGGTCACGTGATCTGGGTTTGACCAATCAGGCGCATGCCTGAGACGCTGCGTTGAGAGCTCGCGAACCTGAGACAGTCTGCCAATGGAGAGCTGCCCCTCTTAGATGCATCATCTCAAATACTTACATATATTCATTTCAAATTGGATAATTATCGTGCCTAAATATCAAATGAAACAGCATAGAGCAGCGAGCACATCAAAGCTGCGATCACTCGGGCATAAACCTTCACGCAGCACCATGACGACGCATCTCCATCTCGCGGTTTGGTTTGGTGGAAAGCACATTTTGCCTCTGCGTGAGTGGCTTCAATACATTTTGTACTGACCATTGACAGTCTCTCTTTGATCTTCTCGTCCCTCTCGTCGCTAGTTTCCGGTTTGTTGCGCATGTACTTCCTGACCAGAGGGCAGACGTAAGTAGGGTCTACGACTTCCGACCCACGCCATTCTGCGAAACGTAGAAAGGAAACAAAATTTGTGGCATTTTAAGCGCCGAAACAGTCGTATCATTACTAGGCATGCCGTAATGGAGGGCTTCGAAAATTTCGACCGTCTGGTGCTCTTTATCGTATCTCGGCAAAGCAGAGCCCACGGGCCTCAAGCCTCGGTCGAAATTCGACAGCTGCGGCTAGGATCGAACCCGCGACCTTCGGATCAGCGGCTAAACACCGTAACCGCAGCCCCCCTCCCCCTACGGCGTACACACAGTTACCACTCCCTGCCTCGAAGCTTGCACCACTTCCTTGAAAATAAAAATAAAAAAAGTTGAGAAGCACTTGTTCTCTCAAGAAAACGGGGACAAGCGAAGCTTCGCTTAGGCGTGAAAACCTCCCAATTTTTTTTCTTTCTTTCAATGCTTCTTTTAGTCACACCTACAACGACAAGTCGGGAGGCAATGCAAGCCTCACTTGAACAAAAATTGTAATCTCATCCATGGTTACGCTCATATACTAATAGTGTTGACACTTCGTATGTAATGAAATAACTTTTTTAGTGTCCTGCAAGGAGCGCACGTGTGAGCTCAGGGCTTCCACTTTGGGACGGAAAGGTCTGGCCTAATAGTGGCATCGTGGGTTTGCTGGACGGCCCCATTTTTTTATTTATTTAAGGAATTTTTTTATTTGTTTCCGGTCATCTAGGTTGGAGCTACTGAAGCCAGCATCCCACCTTGCCCCGATGCTATCTTTATACGCAGTGATGCACTCCCAGAGCATGTATGTAAGAGTAGCTGTTGTAGGTCTGCATTGGTTGCATATATCCTAAGTGTAGATACCTGGGTATAAGACATGAAGTATTTGCGGAGTTGGGCAAGACAGTCTTTAATTTTTCGTTTGAAACACTTTCTTCAAGACATGCCTATAGCAAGATGGTCAGAGTTCGTCTTACTTGAAGGGTGAATACGCCGCAAGGTTTTAGAATGACGCGACAATGAAGACGGAAAGACTGACGAAACACAGGAGCACAAGCGCGAACACAAGAAGTCACATGAGCACAAGGCACTCGTGTTTGTGCGGTTCGTTAGTGTTCTCGTTCGCTTCATCGCACCTTACTAAAATCATGCACCCGAACCAACTCGCTTAACTAACAGTCCTTCGTAACACGAACATAGCGGTACCAGGTGGTGTCGATCATTATGTGTACGCATTATTCTTGCATGCGTAAGTATGCTTACCAAAGGCCAGGCTGACGGCTAATGAGACAATTAGGTGCACGACGAACCCGACGAAGGCCACCCACATAAACGAGATGTGGTAGAACTGGTAAATCCCACTGCGTAGAAAATGGAGTAGCAATCGATTGCTTTCAGTGCATTTTCTAGAAAGCTTTGCGGCTGCAGTGAAAGCCAAGCCCCTAATCTTCTATCAAGTTTTCTTCCTCCATAACAGCTGTACAATTTTTCACCTAAAAGGGTAATGAGACTTTTTTCCGGAGACGAGTTACTCTGCCATACAAATCTGCTGTATGCAGAGACGGCTCTGAGTTATTGTGACGCTCAGCAAATGCTTATAAGATATTTTATTTTTATATAAAGTCACATTTCTCGCGTCGCACCCACCAACTTCGACATTAACTTTCCGTCAGCCTACAGTAGTAATCCTGATGACGTCACGCAGCAGTCTAACTCGTTTTAATGATGTCAATCACCAAAACACAAAAAATGGCACTTTGCGCATCGCCTTTTCGATCGTCCTCTCGCGCCCTGCTGTCGTGTGGTCACTGTCATCCAACGTATCTGTGTAGCGAGCTAGCGTAGTCTGGGATAGTGTACATGCACACAAATACAACATTGGCGCTTATCAAAGGGCAAAGAAATCAATTTTTTCGAGTTCGTTGTCATAGTGGCAATTTTTTGCTCTTTAAAGTCTTGCGCCAGTGAAACGGGGACGGTAGGTGCAAGTTACACCTATTCCCATCTAATCTGGTGCTGAGACAAGCGTGGGTCGGCATGGTGCACCGCGACCTAGACGGAGACTAGACGCCATCAAGTGAAGCTTACTCTGTTCTCTGCACTTGACTCTAGACGCGTTACGCGTACAGACGCAACATGCTACTGCTGAACGACTTTGGATTGTCGACGAAGAACCTGCACCTTAAAAGTGATGCCATCTCAAACTTTCGCCCCCTTCCGCGACAGTTGCCACACGTGCGGCGCGCAGCGGACAAAGCAGACGATTGAAGCGACGCGCGGACGAGGACACGTCACGAAAACTTCCGCGGGCACATACTACCACCTGGTGACGTTGCTCATGCCATGTCTTCACATGTCGTGACGTCAGGCTACAGTGGGAACCGAAACTAGCTATTAAATATACGCTGTAAAATAATTTTCAAGCTGCACTCACGCTTACCAATGCATTTTTCACGCTCTAGGGGGCTTGACCTATCGTTTCAAGCGAAAAAAGAAACCATACGTCAAATATTTTGTGGCAGAACTGCTTAAACCCACTATTATACACTACGAAATGTGCAAGAACTGTAACTAAGTTGCAAGTAGACGACGCTTTAAGGCACTCTTGTTGACCCAACATGTATTGAGGTATATATATTCTAAAAACTTTGACTCTCCTTTTATGTATGTGAGTCACATGTGTAGTACTCGCTTTGGAGAGGAACATTGGTTTCTTTAGGCAAGTCTAGCGAAGCAAGATGGTCCAAAAGAGAGTCATTGAACGCCTCTCCCAAAAAGAGTCAACGTGTTATCTCTAATGGCAGTGCTACACATATGACTCTCACATGTATAAACGAAAATCAAGGGGACACCTTTTTTTTTTTTTTCTTGGAGCGTCCCACGTTCCTTTTTCTACACAGAGTACTTTTAATTGATCTGCTTTTGTAGAACACAGTGCGATTCCTCGTCCGGTGCTGCATTATCTCGAGATAGGGGTAAAAAACGCACAGAAGAAATATTCATTTTCTTATTTCTGAGATACGCTGAAAGTATTTAGTTTTATTCGCATGGCCATGAGGTATTGCACGTTCATTCCATTAATTCACTTTTGCTTTCGAGGCATGTCTCCGTGGTCGTGTCTGGCGTAAGCACTATAGGTATACTTATGATACCCTGATTGGGGAAGTGCCACAGCTAATAGATAATGTTAATGAGGAGCGAGGACCCTTACGATTAGTTCAAGGCCTCATTAGTTTATAGAAGAAGAAAATATTTCGTTTTTTTTTTAACGACGAATAGAAGAAATCCACAATTGTTGATCAAACAATTCCACGAGAGTTATGTCACGCTTATTGTGACGCTAGAACTGCTACTAGCCGCTTTTAGTTTTGATGCGGCAAAACTGGAACACAAGGGTAGATGGATTACTGCTCGTGCCAACCGACCTTGGCCACGGAGGCGACTCGTATGACCCCGATGTGATCGTCTCGTTGAAATGCGAACATCCAGCGGTGGTGGTGGGAAGTGTGTACGGCTTCCTCGGATGTAGAATAGATCCGAGTGACATCCAGCCGGATATGATTATCGATATGAAAGTTCCCACGATGACACCCTGCGTAGTTAGTGCTGCTGAATACCAATTCCAAAGACGTAGCAAAAGAGATGTGCATCGTTTGACACTTTGTAAGGCAGCAATAGAGGAAGTATTTTCTTTAAGTACAGCGTATTAAATAAGCTCACAACAAGCTGTAGCGTGCGAGCTATACAGCGCGTGTGGGCCGGAAATAGGGATGGCAAAGTGAATAGTAGCAATTTCGTATTTGACATTTACAAGCAAGTCAAACAACTCGTTCGTAAACCGCAAAATTAGTAATAAAGAGAAATTATTCGAGTAAATGTAACGCAAGATGTGAATACGCGCTTGACGTGGCAGAGCTGGGGCACATGTCCAGTGCACTGGTGGGCCTTATACTTTGGCCTTTTTGTTACGAATAACGCCACAAATGCCACTTGGTTCCTGCTTAACAATAACAGCTTTTTTTTTTCGAGATCAGTCAAAGAGCGTGATGCCTACCACTTACATAAGTAAGCATTGTTCTTTTCTTTAAGAGAAAGAAGCCTTCAGAATCATTACTTCGAATACGTTATCGGTAGCGCTGGATACCAACCACATTACCAGAACTATTGTTTCATTATATATGATCAAAGTTTCTGAGTTAGCACCGCGAACGTATTATTTATACTACGCTATCATCAAAACCAGAGTAATGAGCCGCTGATTAAAGGCAGTGATTGCCCAAAAGAGATCACGTACTTACTTGTAATGTGTGGGCCGACATCAAGCGAGCCTTATATATTTGTGCAGGCTCAGCTCACCTTTTTCTTGCAGCACGGGAAAAGGAAGCCCAAGACAAAGACGGCAACCATCGGGCCACACAAGGCACCTGACAGGGATGAGGCAGCCTACGTTCGCGAAGAGAAAAAACTTGTATTTGAGAATGATGAGAATGTATGCCTTCCGTACAATTCAGCTAAGTGACGCACCCGTATAGCACCTTCTCTATTTTTCCTTTGAATACGGCTACGCTAATCTACTTAACGAATCTCGCGTGCAGTGAAAATTACATGGCCAGCATAACCCCGCTTACAAAAATGGACCCATTGGACCACTTTCCTTGTTCGCACTTTCCAAAAATTAATAAATGTGCTTGCTAGAAAAAATAATATGTACAAGAACGTTTAGTTTTCGATGTATATGATCTAACAGGCCATGAACGAGTATTAAACCCGTTCCTATTTCTTAGGTCGCATACACCGTAGAAAAAAACTGGCCTTTGCTAATACTCAAAAGTCACGAACATCAGTCGACGTCCCACCCTCATGAACAAAATTTATAGTACAACATCAAATAAATACGATTTGTTCGAGCCATTAAAATTGAGTGCTTTTAGATGCGTGCTTACCTGTACTATGGACTCCATGGTGCCGACTAGGACTGCGACTGCTATTGATAGAAGCCCGTACGAAGCAGCTGAAAATAGTAACATTTTCACACGATTAATTGCTTATACTAAATAGCAGTTTTAAAGTGACATACCAGTTAACTTGGTTATCCGCAAAGTTGTTGCTTCGGAGGACTTTATCCAAGGCCGCATAAAGTCCTCCCAGGTCACTGCTGCTAAAGAATTGTACCCGGATGACAGCGTACTAGAAAGTAAAGAAGGTAAAGAACTGAAAATAGTTGACTGTTGGGTGAGTTAATGCTTCGCCCTCGTCTATCTCTTCTGTGTTTCGTGTTTATAGTCGCGCTGTCATGATGGTTTCTATCTAAAGAACTGAGTTACTCTCACTTCTCGAAGAATCTGAATAAGGACTTGGTTACATCCAGCAATAGAAACGATAACACTTGAATAGGTTATTCAATGCTTTACTGGCAGCACAAAGGTCTCACGGCACATACACCTAGAGCACCCTGGAAACGGCAATTTTTCACTGCATGTCCACATTTGGTTAAGGTCTGGCTGCCCGCGCTCGCGGTCAGAGAGCACGTAGAATAAGACCATTTGCGAAACTAATTAAGTAGACTAACCAGCGTTTTTCAGCCGAAAAAAATTAGCACGGCAAAAAAGTAAACGCAAGGATGCACAATTCCAGCAACATATCAAAATGCGCAAAGCATTCTGCCCTACACACGAAATTTCTTGCATGACAAACGAATGCCGTGCCATTTTTGTACTTTATAAACAACGGGGATTATTTCTCAGGCGTATCAAGATTTCATTTTGCAATCGTCTTCGGCCTACGTTTATGAGATCATGTGCACCATACCCAAGAGGAACACTTGAGGTCTTTATATTATCTTTCTTCGCTAAATGTACTGTATATTGGTGATACATAAACTCACTATAGCAATATTTACTATAGAAAACACTGCCCCCCATTCTAGCAGCTTCGTTCGCTCTCATAGTCGCAGTAAAGGGAGGGCTCTGGATTTCTTTGTTTCTTTTTTCTTTCGAGGTCGAACCTGGGTAGAAAAAGTGTGAGGTTCCTGTTGACTATTTTTGAGTTTCATAAGTACGCATATTTGTTCAAAATCTCGGCAGAAGATAGCGACGCTGCGGCCACTCGATGTCACGAATCTTCCGGCAAGAAATTGCGTAACTCTATTTTATTTCATAGCAGAAAAGCTCACTGTGCAAACTGATAAAACGTAGCACAAACCTTGTCCTATTAAACTTTTAATCGAAAACGTATGGTACAAGAAAGCAGCCAGCCGAGTCATATAGCAGGAAGGTATATGAGATGCCGTTAAAATTAGTACCCAGAGAGCAGCAATATCTAAAAGCACACATATAACACATTGCAGATTCAGATTCTATCTGTAGGCTATAATGACCGCATGTACACCGTAACTTGCTGTTTCGCATAGCTCTAGCAATCACAGGCTTTGAGCTATGACACCGCCAGTGCGGTTTCTCGAACAGAACACCCCGTACCGACCGTCGTAACAGCTGCGAGGAACGAATTCCCTGAAGCGGCAAAAAATCAAGCAAGAACAAAGCTTTAGAGATGACTCGAGCTACGGCGTACTTATTATTTATGTGAAAGCCATTTTCGAATAAATTTATCTAACTTTATTACACCCGACGCCAGAAGTTAGGCCACCATTCGAAGCAGTTGCGGTGGTTGGACGCCTTGTACAATTAGTCGTCATACAGCCTGTGGCAAGTGTAACCTACGCTTCAGAAAAAAATTTATGGGTTCAACTTAAACGACGACATTTTTAGGCCTACAAATTCAAGCATATTGCCATTAAAGTAGAGCATAAAATGTTCTTAATATAATAAAAGAAAATATAAAGAATGCAACTGCTATATTTTGACAGGAGCGTTAAACATTAAGACGCCACGGACATTAAGTAACACATGAGAGACACAAGCATGCATAGTGCCATCTCCGATTAACGCTGGCTAAAATTGGCTTTTTTTTCTTTTTGGCTGTAGTGTTCATTACTATTGGCTATGTTATATGAAAATGAAATAAAATCGTATATTCGTACTATCCCGACTTGACCATCATTTCTTAATGTTTTACGAAAACGACCATAGCACATAAATATAGTTGCTTTCAAGCTCCTCCTTCTTTTTTAATTTTCAGTACAGCGTCCTCGATGTCTCATCTACATACGGTATTTGCATATTTGTTTATCAATAGTGTTTTTAGACATATCGAGAAGCTAGTGACACGCTAACTAGAAGTTGCTCCATGCAAAGTGTCGCAATAAAGGACAGCACATAACATTAAGGTTCAATCTCTACATTCATTCAATCAACCGACTGAGCATGTGTCTAACAGACGTTGTCTTTTTACTGAATCTTCAACAAGGACCTCATTACTGATCAAAGTTAAAATGTTCGCCGATTCTAAACCTTACCTCAGAGAGCTGCTGTACACAGCTGTAGCCAGTAAACCACTCAGTCCAGGGTACTGGTGTAGCATGTCTTGCACAATGTACGGCACAAGCTGTAAAGAGCAGTATTCGACTAAACGTAATGAGCGCATATTTGGATGCCTTATTAAATGCATACATAACGAAGTAAAAAGTAGTGTCAGGACGAATACAGAGGGGCAAGAAAAAAGACAGGACATTCCCTGTCACCTCTCTTGTCCTGCTGTAATCGTCCAAGCCCAGCATTTCTGCATTGTTATGAACCCACACCAAGTTGCTCACTATTTCCAGTTACTAGTACCAAGTTATTCATATTGTTTTTTTTTTCTTTGTATATAATGCTCTTTACACATGAAAAAAAAAAATTCACCGAATAATACCGATGTACCTAAGCGCATAAGGTGTACATTTCCAAGTCGCAACAGGCAATCTGTTCAAAGCTAAAATGTACTGCAGAATCACAGAAATATGAATGAGTTGGCTTGGTTTATGATGAAATAAATTTAAAATGTACCTATACAGGTTATTGCGTATTAGCCACATTTCACATAACAACCCTGGAGCTTGGAAAATACTAAAGAAACTCAAGAAGAAGATGAAGACCATGCAGCGTGGAGTCGAACGAGAAATAAAAGGCGTCTCACGGAAGGGATGGGAATACTGCAGAATGGACCAGACAACAAATAGGAATAGCCAACATTCTGATTCACCTTAGGCAATATGAATGGACCCGGACAGGCCACGTAGTACTCGGAACAGAGAACCACTGTTCTATAATAGCAACGGAATCAGTACGAATATACGGGAAGCACAGCTGAAGTTCGCAAAGAAAACGCGACGAAGTTGATAGGTTGTTAAAGATAAAATCTAAACACGTCGCACAATATCGAGTATGTTATCAAGTAATCGGCTCCACAGAGCTTTCTAAATGTACAATACATGGAACACTAGCACTACTGTGTATAGGAGCTGCAACGCATAGCACTTCAGCGAGCATGGGAGTTATGGGTGTAACATGGGTTTGCCTAGTCTTCGTACTTTACGTTCGTTCTGGCTTCGTGTGGCATGAAGGTGCTTTGTCACGAATGGTCAAGAAACAACAATTGGCAAATGTTCGGCAGTTACGGATCACCCCATTGATCTTCTTCAGGCTTGCCACTTAAAATCGAGTCAGGAAGTGTAAATTGGCTTGTTCCTACCTTTGAAACAAAACTGAAAGACAGCAATAAGCGAAGCCACAAGTGCGATTCGCCGCCCGCAAGCACGAAGACTAGGCAAATCCGTGTCATACACATAATTTCCAAGGTCACTTAACAATCGCAGCGCGAGTGTCCTCTCTAGTTAATTTTAGGAAACTCTACGCTTTGCTCCACGGTGCACAGAAAACTGGCTGACAATTATGATGTTTATTGCGATTCATTTGAATAGCACAATGTGGCTTACCTGGTCTGCTTTGCGGATGTCACCAGTGAGCCGTGGATCACAGTTGCCATATACCGCGTACAGGGTAAGTCCCGACAACACGGCCATTGTTACATTAAGGATCGTGCCCGGTATGTTCAGCAACAGAGCTCTGCGAAATCGCCAACCCCACAAACACCCTACAAAATAAGGAGCTGTCTGGTGAGCACCGTAGCGATGGGCTCACGAGCACGCGAAACACTGAAGCACGCAGTCTAATCTTAATAACCCAAGAGCAAGTGTCCTGTCAAAACAGCTTACCCAAGAACAACAGGAAACTGAGCAATCTGGTCAGTGTTCTTTGTGTGCGAAAGCTAGGTACAAAGCGAAAAAATCGGCGCTTGTCTTGGGTTTGCGTTGGAAAACCTTTCTTTTTACCACGATGAAGCTAAAACGAAACTTTGAAACAATAATACAGCTCTCAGACATGTTTACTTTTTAATTATTGGTAACCTTTCTCATTAAAAATGTTTTTTTTTGCTCTTCGATAGGCCCAACATTGTTAGTATCCTGCGAAACTTTATTGCCATGAAAAATTATTTTAAACGATAACTATGTTGAACTTAAGCATTTGAAAATAACTCATAAAATCGCAAATATAGATTGACAAGTGTACATGTATGTCCCGATATTGTGGTCACGCAAGCACACATCCTAGTGCTTTGTCACTGTACAGAGAATAATGAAGAAAAAGAAGGCTCACATTCGGGCACCCTTGAGTGATCCGATGCTGGCATAGCGCTGCGCCTGTGTTTGATTAGCGCAGTACATGCCCATCCAGGTGACGGTCCAGCCGAATACCATTGTCCATGTCGTATATGTCTCGTACGGGCTAAGGCTAAAGCTGCGAAAAAAAAGGCTTGAATTACTTCAGTAAAAAATATCCTCTGATTATTTTCACCTTCCCAGGCCTGAACGCCCTACATAAACGATTATCACATATTGAAAGGTCTACGCATATCACAGCAAACGATACCGCTAAGATTCGTTCTCTAAGCCTTGAACTTTGCCTTAACATTATCGACCAGTTAATGCTTTGTGTTTCGAAATGTGTTCATTCAGCCCAATTTTTGTACAGGCCTCAAACACGGCGCGCACGGGTATAAACAAGCGTTCATAGATACAGCATCCTCAAAACCTATAAATCATATAGGGTATGAAGCATCATACCTGTTATAACCTCTTCAGTTCTATCTCACTCTTTAGAAAGCACCAAGATCATGGTGCTTGCAACAATAGCTTACTGTCGTAGTGCTTTAGTATTCATTACACCTATTGAATAACGTTTCGGAAATATTTTACGCCCTAAGCGTCGAATTACGCCAGCCAGCAGCACCATCAAGGAAAATACTAAAGCCTATGCGGTTTGCTGGGACTTAGAAAATGCTATTCTGTAGCGGGAACATAGTCATACGTGACACTAATTTAAACGGCTAGGCCCATAGTGCCTTTCGCCTGCTAGGAGGCAAAACTTTAGGCCTTTTGTGTCTTACGGAATTGAGAAACATTATGAATTACAACGAGGGCAGCCGCGCAGATGCCGAAGTCCCAACCTTTATGACTGGTTTCGAGCATTGAGTGTTGGTGGCCTAATATTGCGTTTGATAATTAAAAATCTTAGTAACTCGCCATACTTCTATGAAGCAGAGTCCTTCAGCAGAGTACAGTGATCGGGGGCGCCAGTTTCACGTTTCGCCACACCCAAAATGCGCACGGTATATTCCAAACATTAGATATTTGAAAGAAACCATCCGAGTGTAATGTCTTATTTGTCTTTTAATAGCAACTGTTGCATTTTAACCACGCTAACCTACTTTGTAAATATCAAACGGCCTCCATCACCGGCGATCTGCCACATAGCACTGAAGCCTCCCAAGTAGTGCAAGCCCTGGAACACAGAAGAAAGTCATTTTGAACCAAAACAGCATGCTCAAGACAATATTGCCCTTAAACAGCTTGTGACAGCCAGAAACTTACTTAAGCTTATGACGTTACCATTTTGGCACATTACAGGCTGAGATAAGTTACAATACCACATGAGCAGTGCAACACCAAAGCCGTAGCTAAGACAAATCTTCAATTGGCCTTCTCGCTAAATAAATCTAATATCAACCAACACGTCACTAAGACAAATGTACAATTCGTTTTCTCAATACTTTACCGTAACACCAACAAACACGTGGCTAAAAGAAGTCTGCAATTGTTTTTTTTTTCATTCCATTCATCTCACCAGTAACTCAATACAACCAATGTGGAACCACGAAACTTTACAAGCACGTAAATGACATTCTTGTCTACGTGCTATGGCACACAAACAAACAGGGCGAACCTAATTAGCTGAAAATAAATACAAACGGAAGAAGATGTATTTATAGAAACACAGAAAGACTTGCCAGAGCAATAATATGACTGCTTCACTATAGAAAAGGGTGAGGGGAAGAGAAAGAGATATACCTGATCGAGGTCAGGTGGGGAGGTCAGTGTATGCAGTAGCTGCCCTTTGGGGCAAGCCAAAAGTCATGCATCCAGTTCAGTGACTTGGAGAAAAACTAAGGACATCCCTATAACCACAGCAGCACAGTAAGCACCAGAATAACTAATGCCTAACAGATCATGACAGGAATGGCTAATGGCCTAAAACAACATCATCACTAAATAGTCTATATGGCATTACGCAACTGAAGTACCAGTTTCTCCCATTCTAATGCGTACGCTGCACAGGTGCTAAATGTGTGTTCAAGAGTCTCTTTCACTTGTTAGTTCCCGCAGTTGGGACCGCTGAAAGCAAGGAAAGATACAATTAGCTGTGGCTTGGATTCCAATGCATAGTTCAGTGCCACGAAGCATAAGTGAACCAAAGGAAGTGACTACGTCCTCGTGTAGAAATAAAATATCACTTTATTGTAATCACTTATTCGTAATTTGCTTTAATTTAGGCAACCATCTAGAAGGTAGTGAATAAGTGGCATAATTATGGGAAAGGCATGCTTAATATTCTGCACTCATTATTGGTGAATATAATTGAAAAAGTAAACAATCATGCAAGAAGTTCATATATATATTGCGATGAAAGCTTTGTACTGAAGTGTTACAAAGGGAAAGTAGTATTGAAAGAAAATGTTTTCCACTTATCAGATAAATTATTAAAGCACTCCTGTGCCTCATATTTTTTATTTAAAAAATTCGTGGTGTGATCCTTGATGTGCTACTAATAAAAAGAATCGAAAATAAACGGTGATCCACTTCGCTCATAGCAGTCTTATCTGCTCAGCACTGTCATCAGAGCGACGGAAGCTCTGATTAACGGACATTCTGACATTCAGCCATTCAGACATGGCTGAATGTCAGAATGCTCGAATGACTCGCAAAAGTTCCGTGAACTGTGACTCATGACGCTACGTCATCTCACCGCTGAATTTAAAGGGCCGCGTGTACGTAGAACCATTCTATCACAAATAACTCGAGCGTATTGTTGTTGAGTCGGCTGTTTTTTTTTCTTTTTCAATTGCCAAGCACCAGTTTAGTTCAAAAGATGAATTGAAATGAAGACTGCCAAGGAAATAGTACCATTGTTAGCGCAAAGTTAATTTGATACAACAAAAACTCCATGGAAAATAAAAAGGCAGACATTTTACATGTCTAGCATATGCAGAGCAGCCCCAAGCTTTGCTAGCTGGTTATTGATCAATCTCAAAAGGTTTAACTGGTTTAATACAAGCAAGGACAGGGAAACAGTAAAGAACCGCACGTTCGCAGACTTAACAACTGTTACGTATGCGCATGTATATGTAATAATCTCTTACATTTGTATACATGTACATGTGCGTGCGTAGGGTTCCGCTTCAGTGGAGGGGAAGGTTCTTCGCAGCGCCCCTCTCACTATACTGTGGCAGCTCCTCTCCCTACTACTGTGCGCCTCTCCTATTCATTTAATTCATTGGTCTGACCTTGCGCCTCCCTCTCACCACCCCTGCCCCCCCCCCCCCCTTGCGTACGCCTATGTATATGAATATAACATTCCACGCGGTACTCACAGATCCGATGACCATGATGTATGCGATGTATATGAGGACCACTTGGACAACGTCGGTCCATACCACTGCCTTGATACCACCCTGTACAAACCCAAGGGTGCAATTAGGTACAAGATCTCATTAGGTCATTAGGTAAAACCTGCATTAGCACTAATTACATGATTCAATGTTCGCTAGAAGACACAAGACAGGTGTTGTTAATTTGCTACACATTTATTATAGCGCTAGTCAAATTACAAACAAATATTCAAATCTTTTGATGCTTACAACTCTGATCACCAAAAAATTGCACATATATTGTATCTGTAGCCAATGACATTAGATTAAGGCAAGCGCTGATGAATGGCCAATTAGGATGGCTCATTTCTAGATGTTCAGCGTCCATGAGTTCCCAAGGAAATTTTCGCCACCCAGATTTATCACTATGTGACTCATTTTAAACAGTTACTTTAAAGCCCTGAGAAGTTTCATAAAATATAGTAGGCAACTTCAGCCATGCACGGAAATGTTTCTCTAGGAACAACGAATCTTGTTTTCTTGTGAATGCCGCACTTTTGTTAGCCTAACGAGAACACTTCCACTGGTCACACACTACAGCTGGAGCGGCTCTCTTAAACAGGAAGCGAAGCTGCATATGGAACTGTGTGGTCACCGGAATTCGTAGCGAACCAAAAAATTGTCACCAAATTAAGCCATGAGAAACTATGAATGCGATTTTCCTCCTTGATCTAAATATAGTATTATTTTTTGTCTATACACGCCCTCAGCCGGTGTTGCCGGGCTTATATTATAGTTTATTCATTCATACATACATACTCTCAAGCAACTCTTACCAGTGATTATGAATTTATACACAATAAATTGTCAAGTGCAACCAGATTCTATTCACCTAGAGTGCTCATTACATTCCTACGTCTTCAGGCTATGTTTGAGTGCACTCGGCGCATTCATTGCAGCAGAGTGCTAAAACAGAACAAACGAGTTATGAATGATGCAGTACAACTCGGGACTTTAAACTCGAAGGGGAAAGCTGTTTGAAAGAAACACAGTTACGATTCACAGGTGGCTGCTAGAATTAACGGACATCGCGCCACGCTGAACGGGCAGAAGCCGAAGAACTCATTATCGTTGTTGCGAACTAGCTGCTATAACACGTTTGTGCCAAGTGATCTCGAAATTTAACTTCGTGAAGTTCCGAGAGCCAGCAGAAGTTATTGAACAGTTATTGATGTGGCATAAACCAACACCGTGATGCATTCATTCGAGCAGTGAGCCTTAATACAGACAAATGACGCTTTTCATGCTTCAAACACATTTATTTGTACAGTAGAGTTACCGCAATCAACATGAAAAGTAATCAGCAAGTTTGCTTAGCTTGCAGTTAATTTCTCTGGATTCCTTGGGCATCGCTTGCAGCTTGCCCAAGCGCTCCAATGCAACGTCTTCACTCTCATAATTTCATAAACGCTGCTGTATCATTGCTTTGAATCTGATAAATTTGTTTTGGTTTGGCTTTGCCAAAGATAACGATCACTCGGCCTGATTCTGCAAAAATCAATGAAAGCCACCGGCTACCAGTTCAAATTAATCTTTGTGGATAGCAACACGTTACAATTATCGCAAGCTTCCCCCAATAAAAATATATCAGGCAGTGCCGAGACCAGGGCAGCAGTTCCTATTAATGCCAACTCGAAGTAACCAAGTTGCAATTGACCAGCGTTCGCTGTATAATCTTTAGAACTATTAAAGCATATTGCGAGAACTCACTATTGACGTGTAAAACGTGCAGACGGCACCATTCAGCAGTATGGAGGACCATACCGGCAAACCGGTCACTGGAAATTACAAAACGTACGTATGAGCAAAATAATTTTGTCCTCAGTTCTAGCCTCTTTACAAAGTAGCGCGACAATGCTCCTTAGATTGCATTTGCCCTTATTCTGCTTCCTAGCTAAAGCATTTCATTCATTCTTGTTTTACATCCAACGTAACATCTTTAAGATCAAAGTAACTCCGCTCATTGAAAACGTCACTGCAACGTACACCTTCAATTCCAACGTAACGTGGCTTTGTTTGACATGCCTGGTGAAATAGGCACTGCCATACCTGTGAAATGTATTGCACTTCTTTTATCATTTCAGACACTCTGCAGCCAACATGCAAGGTTTCACAAACATACTGACTGAAGAGCAAGAGAGTTTGTATGCATTGACAAAGTTCTGCTCGGTTTATGTTTTCTTTTATTGCCTTGCTCTCACACTGCAGTTAGAAAAGAAATGTTTTTTTTTATTTTTATACATGACAGTAGTAGGTGTACGTACAGTTTTATAGTTATTATTTATTTATAATTTATTCACTACCTGCGTCGCCTTTGCAGGCATTAAAGCCGGGGGGGATATACATCACCAGATCAAATTTTCATTCATTTCTACACACAAAGCGTGAAAATCACCATTGCATTGAATTTTTGCATTATTTGACGAAAGAGCATTGCACTCGCTCGCAGTCCTACAAAAAAAAAATGAATAACGTAAAGTGTCACCTTTAAAAGAAAATTCAAGAACTTTCAAAGCATGGTCCCTTCTCTACGAGAAATATATGATGGTAATGCGATATATTTGTTTGTGTCAATGTCAGTTTTTGAATAAAAAATGCTGTGAAAAAATTTGAGTCTTAGTGCTTTGTGCCTGTCCTCCAGGTCCTGTCAATGAAGTGCACGCTTACTTTCAAAAGCACTGAGGTATTTGACGTAATTACCCAAAACAAATCGAACAGCTCTAGTCTGAATTTCTTCTAGTAAGTCGACTAACTGTTGAGTATGAGGATCCCAGCTGACACATGCGTACCTAAATATTGAACGTTTGTTAGTGAAATGCAGCCGTTCTTTGAAGTTACTGGGTAATTGTCCGAAATTTCGACGTAGGAAGCCTAATTTGCGTGCTGCCTTTCTTTTTATTTCCTGCACATGCCTATTCCACCTTGAATCCGAAGAAAGAACAACCTCTAAGTATTAACATTCCGTAGCCCTGCACAATTTTAAACCCAACACTGCAAAAAAGCGTAGAACAAACTTTATCAATGGCATCCGACGTGTGAAATCTAGTTGTTGACAGCTGCAAAAGCAGAACTAAAATGCTCTATTCGCTCATTATGTGTATATATAAAACAAACCTTCACTATACCACCGAACATGTTTTGAAGCTTTCTGAGCAAAAGTTTAGTCACTTGTGAATTATCATATTTAAAGATTTTCGCGAATCATATGTTCTATAATATTTCAACATTGTCCGTAGTTATAATACGAAGGGGCCACAAAACAAAGCACCATAAAGGAGAAGCTACATGCTCAGTAAAACGCGATGAGTCCACAGTTTAGTTATTTTTGGTTCATCTTGGCTAGCCAATCTTATACTCCCAGAAAAATCACACCCTAGTGACAATCAAGCGAAAATTAATCGTGATGTTTATGCTATTCGTATGTTCGCACGCGTGAAAGATTCGCGCTTGCGATCAGAGATAATCTTCCTACAGCGACGCAGTTAACGTGATTGGCGCACCAATATGCTTTAATATTACTGCTATGAAATAGATATTTAAAAGCAAATTTTGTAATAGCGTGCCTTTAATTTTTTCGCAATTATCATGTCCGCATATTTATGAAAATTCAACCAGCAATAATGCCCGATTAAAAATTAAGCGTAATTGAAACGGTTTTTTTTTCGGTGGCTTTTTTGTTACAAGTTCACTGAAAAAACGTTCTGGGCTCCATTAGTTAAAAAAACCCTGCAGAACAGCCTCACTGAAAGCAATGTTGTAGGCTCTTTCAGTTAAAATGACCGTGCAAAACGTTTCCAAGTACCCATCAAGTGGCTTTACTTGAGGATTTCGTTCCTTGACGACATTAACGACCACATTTTTTTTTAGAATGGTACAAGTAAAAACAGTGGTGAGAATATGTTTCCCGCTGTCATTCCCGACGAACGCACTGTGAGCTAAGCAGTGAGTGATGACACAGGAGATGTACGTTAGGTCGCGCACTCCTCAGAGCCCTGAGCCCATTTTCTCTCTTCTTTTCTTCGAACGCGTGGATGACTCACTGCGATCACGAGGAAGCCGAGACGAAGATGATGAGAGCACGTGCCGGCTGAACAATGTTCTGGATGGCAAAAGCCGATCATGGTGATGATCGTGTTTGGTCACCCTAGACGGCGTACCGTAGAGCTCAAATAGCTTCGCTGTTTAAAGCTTACCAGATCCAAGGGCCAGTGATGGACCATATAACGCCACGCCCAGGTAGAGCAGCTGCAGTATAAAACAAAAACAGTTCTTCTTACAAAATGTGTTAAGGATAAGATGGTGCCTAGGTATGGTTTAGAGTATCCCTATTCCGTTGCGTAATAGTGTTCGTTGCGAGCTTGTCTCTAATCACGAGATAGTGCAATCGTGAAACGCGAGTGGACATTCACAAACGGAATTGAAGCACTGCCAACTTTATCCATGAAATGACATTCGCAGACCTAATTCCAGTAGACCTACGACGACCTGGTTCCATCAGGCGTTGTGTGCGTGTGTCCTTGAAAATATTATCACTAGATGGCGTATGTGGTTGCCGTGTAGTACACGATATCATATAGTTGACAGACGGGTGAGCGGACAGACAGACTGACAGACAGAAAGAGAGACAGACACACGAAAGGACGGACGTATGGACAATTGGATGGACGAGCGGACACTTCGCACCCCTCATCATCAATCGTTCTGTGGATATGCGGTGCTTTTTTTTTGCTTTCTGATCATACGTCTCTCTGACGTCATATCTATGACGGAAATACGTCACTGAAGTCTTCGTGGACCCGGGAAGAAAAAACTTCCATGTTAAAATTGCAGGCATGCTTCAAACAGGTACTTAAGCGAAATTCCCATCTTCTGAGCAGTTTTCACGCAAATATGTGTGTCTAAAACTTTAAATTAATGCCAACATGTCGATATTTAAGGCATTGCGATGGTCTGCTTAATCACACGTTGCTAAAGTATTTTACCGCTAACATACGAGGATGCCTGTATATAAAGGGTTAATATTTTATTGGTCATTGCATGGTAGAGAAGAAAGACTCGTACAATTTTTCTCGCTTGGTTAATGTCTAATAATTAAGAAAACAGAGCTTTAACACTTGAGTTACACAGAAATTAAAGCTGTATTTCGCCGAAGCCAAAGTAAGCAGCAATATCCTGGCTAAAATTAACAATGCGAAATAATGGCGTACGCTCTCGCAACCTTCAAAATGCTTCCAAGCTTGCTTTTAACAAAATACTCCAGTTGAAAATAGGGAAGGAAGAACAAATCTCCATTAGTCATAGCTAATAAATGTGATACTACCGTAGTACTACCGTATTTCCAGAGCAGCTAAAAGTAGCAAAAGTCACTGCAGTACATAAAGGTGGTGATATCAATACTTTAGCGAACTATCGACCTATATCTGTGCTTCCAACAATATCAAAAATATTTGAAGGGGTTATTTATGATAGACTTGCATCCTTTTTTGATAAGCCCCAAATAATAACAAAAAGTCAGTATGGTTTTCAAAAAAATAAATCAACAGAACAAGCTCTACTCTATATCAAAGATAAGATAGTCGAAAATATGGAAAACAAAAAATATACTCTTGGGCTCTTCCACGATCTTCAAAAGGCATTTGACTACATACAATTCAAATCATTGATACATAAATTATCAAGTTATGGGGTGCGTGGAGTTGAACTACAACTGTTTAAAAGTTACCTAGAAGATCGTTATTAATATGTAAAACTGAATAACACTATTTCTGCAAAGATAAAGTTGAACCAAGGAGTCCCCCAAGGGTCTATACTGGGGCCAATATTGTTCCTTGCCTATATAAATGATATTGTCGATATACCTCATTCTCATGAACTTATAATGTACGCTGACGATACGAATGTTTTCTTTTCATCAGACAATCTAATATCACTTGAGGTCAGTGTAAATAATTATCTAAGCAATCTTTCAAATTGGTTAAGGCAAAATGGACTGCGCTTGAATGCAAAAAAAAAACAACCTATATGATATTCCGACCTTTAGACAAACCTATTAGTAACATAGCTGCAAAATTCGAAGGAAATTGCATCGCACATGTTAGGGAACAAAAGTTTCTTGGTGCATGGTTTCAGGAGGAATTAAACTGGAACACACATTTAAATCATCTGATCACTGCATTAGCGCGAATAGTTGGTTGTTTTTTTAGAACAATGCACTTAATCCCATTGAGGTTAAAAATAAGTATGTACTATACACTCTTCCATTCTAAAGTAACTTATGGGATGTTAGTCTGGGGAACGACATCACAGGGGAATTACCATAAGTTAATAACTATACAAAAGAAAATATTGCGCTGCTTTGAAAAATACAGGGGGAATCTACAAGACTTGCGCACAGCTCCACTATACATTAAACATTCCATACTCCGAATCGATCAATTATATCATTTTAAATTGCTTCAGTTAATACAAAAGACTAAGCTATACGAAGAAAGTTGCACCGAAAGACTACCCTAGAGTTTGTGAGAACAAAAGAAACGAGCTCCTAGAACAAGAACCAAGTATGGAAAACAAAGTGTTGCTTACCAGGTACCTCAGGTTTTAAATACCCTAGCAGATCAATTGAACTTTAGGGCTAGTAGTGCGACTTTCAAGAAACAAATAAAGAACTTATTCATAACCACCGGTCTACACTATCGAAACTACGTAATGGAGTCTCATGCCTCTGCAAATGCTTAAATTATTCATAAATTTCTATGTCAATTATACGAGTGTATACAGTGCAATTCATTGTATCCGCATGCATTTTGTGTCTGTTTTTTGAGTTGTTTCATTGATATTGCTTAGTTGTGAATTTTAACGAGAGTAACCTCTAATTCTTAAAATGTGTTATGTAAACTTCTTATGCTATTTATGTTTGAATTTTGTGTTTACAATTTCAGGTTGCTTGAAACCAATGTATTGAATATATATATTGTTTGTCAGTGCTGATGTCTAAGCTTTGCACTGTCACGGACTGCGGAGGGACAAGGGCCTTTGTCAGGCTGCTCGCCTTTAGCCCTTTGCCCCTGCAGTGAGCTCTGTATCCGGCTTACTGTAAATAAACATACTACTACTACTACTACTACTACTACTACTACTACATTGTTCGAAAGCCTACAGGCCAGATTAGTTCTAGTCTATTTCTAAAACAACTTATTGTGATGCGCGTTGATTCAGAGATGCAAGGTGGTAAACAGAAAGAAAAGCAATAGGGATATCCGTTGAAAACGTAACATGAAATGACTGTCACGTCCGTTTCAAGTGTACTTATAAAGTGCCAGATGTGATGCGGTTACTATCGAAATTGCCTTAAAATGTTTCACTTGTGATGAATGCTGTTGTATACAAGAAGATGGGAAACTACAAGCTTTCCGAAATAGTTGACTTCTTCAGATTGTTTTGTTTAATATGTATTTATAGATTGACAGAAGTAACAAGGCGTTATATATATATATATATATATATATATATATATATATATATATATATATATATATATATATATATATATGTGACGTATCAAGTGATGGTTAGTAGAGGTAGAGAAGGAAGAAGTCAGAGATTGGAATAAACATGGGGTATGAGCCAGGCCACGTCACCCAGTCATCGTAGCGTCACACGAGTCGACAGGATGAAGACCTCCCAGCCACTTCATCAGTGTCTCATCATCGACGCAGTTCTACACAAGACGCCCTGACCATACATCGACTACGGAATCATTTCCTAGCCGCACACAGAGACCAGCACCATGACAGAATCATCGACCGACCTTCCCATCCCCAAGTACACCGGATCAGCGGACGACGGACCCGTACAGGACTGGTTCAACCTGTTCGAACTCCACGCTACCGCTGCATCTTGGTCGGAACGGGAGATGGTTACGAACTTCAGCGATTACGTCACCGGTGAGGCATTCAAGTTTTACCTAATTCACATATTCGAGAATGACGAGTCGTGGCAAAAAATCAAAGAGGAGATGATTACCCGTTTTAATGACAATGACCAAGTTTTACTCATTGCCAACCATCTAGAGACAACTGCACACTATCGTCAATTTCCTATGCAGTCATCAAGCATTCGAAAGTCCAGCGCGAATCGACAAGTGCCTCAAGACGAAGTGGCACCTGAGTTTACTTTCAGAAGACCATGCGTGTTTTGGAAAAAGCCTAACCATCAAGCACGCCTCCCTTCTGCACAAAAGCCGGCATTTCGAAAGTCCTCACTCCATCCTATGACGCGAGACGTTGCCCACCGACCTGATGCTCTTAATTCTTCGTCTTGCATACGCCGTGAACCACGCGGTTTTCCATCACGCGGCTCTTTAAGCGCTCCTGACGCTCACCGTTTGCCTCATAAGGAAACCATGTTCACGATAGACGAGTTCACGCACCGAGAAAATACCCAGTCGAGCCATGCTCCTTTCGCACGGGCTCATGCATCACCGTCCGGTGCACACACCCTCGACAGTCCAAACAAAACAGAACGCTCAGATGCATCGAACGTCGCACGCTACCAGGCGCAAGGACCACTCGCAGTGAACAGCGAAAAAGAAGCCCCTGAAGAGCTCCCTGCCGTTTCTACGGCACCGCAGAATTGCCAAAATTGGCAGTTCAAACCTAGTAATGCCATGTCACCTGTGGTGCCCACATGCAGAGCTCACCAATTCATGAATAGAACAAATTCAGAAGTACATGATACATCAAACATCGTACACAGTTGCCTTTTGGAAGCGTGCGTAACGAACCACGTCACCGAAGCCTCTGAAGAGCCTGCTAGCAATGATGATGCATTACCAACTATGCCCGACAAGCAAGACACCAATTCACCAAGCATCAGCTTTCGACAGGACACGTCAAACATCGAAGAAAATGAATGCCCCATTCCGAAAGGGGCGCCACTACAGCCATCTCTTGAGCAGCCTCAGCAAAGCAAGCAAAGCCAAGTTCATAAACCCATGCTACAACAAGAGAAACTGCAACGAGGGCATCGACGAACGCGAAATTCAACGGAAGCGCACTCACCAATAAAAGAACATCGGAAAATAAGATCTCTTAACCAAAGACCGATTCAAGACGTCAGGCAATTTCGCACAAAGAAAAGTCACCAGAAACACTCCCTGCACCTGCTATTACACCGACTGCACCACCACAAAAAACGCCGAGAAAGACGCAAAAGCACTGCTTGCACACCGCAAGCACTCAGGCACTTCGTCACAGTCGGTCAAAAAGCACGAAAGCAAGAAGCACCGGAATTGCACCATTCACGGCGAAAAATACAACCCCGACGACATCCGAGCTGCCGATGCAACAAGGCGTTTCAAACTTGGTCAGCCCGAACAAGAGTTCTAGCAGTACTGTCAGTATCCACGTGTATCCCGCTTTGTCCAGAACGCAACAGTCAGCCTCGCCCACCAGAGTTATAGAGTTCACCGGACTGCTCCCTCCGGCTTGAAGATTTAAAGAGACTGTGGAACTCCGTCGGGACGTGATACTGAGAATTTGGACGTTGTCTGTTTATTGGCTTCTTAAATTTTTTGTAGGTTATAAACGGTGCCATCTTTCGGGGGGAGGCGTGTGACGCTACGATGACTGGGTGACGTGGCCTGGCTCATACCCCATGTTTATTCCAATCTCTGACTTCTTCCTTCTCTACCTCTACTAACCATCACTTGATACGTCACATATATATATATATATTGTAGCGAAGCCTCCGAACTATGAAATGGGTCGAACTCTTGAGTACCTTCTAGTGGGGCTACCCAACAAGGACGCCGCTCGCGCTGAGAGCCCGTGCTTGGCTGTGACTGTCGCCATTGTATATTCTTGCTCGTTGCCGGCTAATAAATGCCTTAACAATTTGGTGGAGAGTGCTGCGATCCCTGTCTATGCCTTTGGAGCTACGATCACGTACCCTGCCATCTACTATGTACCACGACGCTTCTCAGCAAACGCCTCCTCCAATGCCACCCCCTTGTCCCGGTGTCCCCAGAATCCGCGATCCACCCATCTTCACTGGCGCTGATGGCACTGACGTGGAGGACTGGCTCGCCATTTACGAGCGCGTGAGCGTCCCCAACAAATGGGACGAGGACGGCAAGCTGACCAACTTGGTGTTTTACCTTGCCGGTGTCGCCAGTTTGTGGTACAACAACCACGCGTCCGATTTTGCCACCTGGTCCGATTTCAAGACCGCAATCGTCAACGTCTTCGGCCGCCCTGCTGTTCGCAAGCTGCAAGCCGAGCAGCGCTTGCGTGAACGTGCTCAGGAGGCTGGTGAGTCATTCACCAGCTATATTGAAGATGTCCTGGACCAATGTTACAAATCCAATCACACCATGTCCGAGTCTGACAAGATCCGAAACATCATGAAAGGCATCGACGATGATGCCTTCACGATGCTGCTCGCCAAAAACCCCAGCACGGTGGCTGAGGTCATCACACTGTGCCAGAGCTACGAGGAGCTCCGCCGGCAGCGTTCGATGACCCGACGCTCCCCACCACGAGCTGCAACGCTTGCTGGCTTGGAGGCCAGTTGTGACCAAGTGGCGTTGATGGCAGAACTGAAGTCCTTTATCCGTGAGGAAATCGCGGAGGTAATGCCTGATTACCACCCCCAACAGCCTCCGGCTCCTGCGTCCCTGAGTTACGCGCAAGTGGTCGCCAGGCCGCCCCAAGTCGTTCAAACACCCGCCCCTCTGACCTACGCTGAAGCTGCTGCACGACCTGCGTCCTTTGCAGCGGGTATGCCCGCTACGTATGTTGACGTAACCCCTCAGCCTCAGCTTCAGTCCACCATGCAGCCACCGTTCCGTCCATCAGCCCTTGCGACATGGGTGAGACCTACCCCGGTGAACAGATGGCGCACACCCGACAACCGGCCCATCTGCTTTGCCTGCGGTTACGCCGGTCACGTGGCGCAGTATAAATCGATGCAGCAGGAAGGACGCAACATCGCGCGCAGCAGCCGCAGGGAGAGCGGCGGTTTCGGCGTATCGCGTTAAATGGTCAACGGCAACGATGGCCCAGCGGTTACCAGCCGACGTCAGAGGAAGTGGTCCATACAAATCGATACCTACGCGCCCAAAGGGACGGTCAGGGCAAGGTAACGGTTGTAGACTGGCGTGCGACATGTGGGCTGACGGTTTACGGCGTTGGCAAGTGAGGCAAGAGCGAACGAACTGCTGCACATAGCGGTACATCCCGCGCCAGAAGTAGCGTTGTCGAATGCGATGGTAGGTTTTGAATACCCCAGAGTGCGCGCATTGCGGATCAGAATGGAAGGATTCACATATCTCTGACCGCAGACTGCGGGGTATCACGAGTAACCACTGCCGGCCGTCGGCGTCGTAATTGCGTCGGTGTAGGAGGCCGTCACGAATGGCGAAATGGCGAGCTTGACGACGCAAGGCACGCGTGGATGGCGTTGCGCATGGATCAGAGAGCATGTCGATGAGCGGGCCGATCCAGTTATCCTTTCGCTGTTCGGTAGCGATGATGTCAACATCAATAATGGCAGAAACAGCAGCCGAGGATACTGAGCAGAGCACATCACCTTCAGGCAGAGGGGAGCGCGAGAGGGCGTCGGCGTCAGCATGCTGGCGTCCGTTGCGGTACAGCACGCGGATATCGATATATATATATATATATATATATATATATATATATATATATATATATATATATATATATATATAAGTTCGTGGTGGTACTGCTCAAAGTCAGTGCCAGCATTTAAAGTCAGTGCCAAATTTTTCGCAATGAAATTTTCACAGGCTCATTTTGAAACTATGCATGAAAAACATTTCGGCACCAGTTTTTACTAATACTTTCAGTGGGAATAAGCATTATACGTGTACCTACGTGTCAGAATAAATGTGGGTTATAATGTGCCTTCATGCAATTAGCCTGAGAATTTAAATATCTATGCTTTCCTGGCGTCCCTCACTGGGAATAGTACACTTTCGAAAGAACAGCATTGTGAGTTTCAGTGTTTGTAGGAACATTGGCAGCCTGTGCTCCAGAACTTGGCTCCTACAGATACCAGTTTTTTCACAAGTACATTTATAGGTGACCCCCCCCCCCCCAGGGGAAAAGATGGATAAGGAGTAATCATCTTTATTCTCAAAGACCAGCAAGTTTAGGTGTCCGGGCCAAGGCCACCCAGGTGGACAGGTAAAGGCCTTGACTCTTTATCATCTCAAGGGCGTGCTTGGTCGCCATACTTGTTCACCGAAGGCAGAGCTCCGCAGAGCCCCACACAACCTCGACGCCGGAGCCACTGGAGACGAGATGAACAACCGGGGCAATATGACAGCTTACAATGATCTCGTTAAATCATTTTACCTCAAACGCCGAGCCTTCCCCCGCCCCCTCACCCCAAGCTCAGCCGGGCGCAGGCTACCATTCTGCGTCTACAAGAAGCCAGCTGATATCCCTCACCTGCGTGCTTTCAACTCTTATTCGCAGACGTTTACACTACTCTCAACTGCCAGAGGGCTGCGGCACTCTCCAGGTTGCGTTTTCACATATGCTGTGGAAGTGCCCGGTACACTACACACACACTAACGCAAGATTGACACGTAAATGTTTTTTGTGTCACAATTTTTGAAATTCTAGGAATTTCCGATTGAAGAAGGTCACTGTAGCTTCATTACCGCAAAATACAGCTATGTTGAAACCTGCGCACGAAACCATAAACAAGTGAACAGAAATTATACTCACTGTATGAACGATGAACAGTATGGACCCTATCTTCCTGACGGCCCGTGAGGAATACCTCTTCTCCAGATACTAAAATGAAAAGACAATTTATTCGGTCGAGTATTTTGTTGTTGTTTTGTCGGCGTGAGAAGGAATACTTAGCAACTATCTCAACTCTTCTTTTTCAGCTACAACGTATATCGCTATGATTGCACATATTTTTCCCTATAGCGTCACAAAGTTCCTATGGGCAACCCAAACTTGGAGAATCCCCCCACCCACCTTCAGTTCACCAAGATGAAAGGAACGCACTGCTGGCAAACGTCTATTACCTCATGCTCAAAACGCCAAACGGGTATGGAAAATTGGGCAAGACGATGCAGGTAGCGAAAAGAAGAATGCGCCAGAAGGACGTGAACATACCTTGATGCTGAAGTATAAAATCATTTAGCGTACCAAGAGAGGACATAGAAACGCGGATACAAGAAAGAATTCGAGACACCACCAACACCGGCTATCAACATCAAAGGCACACAGCGGCGGAAAATCGAGAATGCACGAATACTTATCTGTTCAGGCCGGTGTAGTAGAAAAGTATTCTTTCCTGTTTCACGGGCGTAAGCAGATCTATTCAGCAGAACTCTTATAGCAGATCGCTAACCTGATGCTCAACTTCTGATTTATCTTTACATCGTCGAGACTGCAAGTGCATGCCGAAATTCGATGAATGCGCAGGATTGTACTGGCACAGGATTGAAGAAACATGTCTAATGATTCAGCCGAGGGATATTGACAACATTGGTACAGCGTATGCGGGAGTGGACCGTCGATTAACTTGCGTCAAAAAGAAATCAAATGCTTTGGAAGTTATCCTTCACGTAGGCCTTCATGCACACCGTATATATACCTTCGCCCAATTCATTAGCTTGCGAATATAACGTTGCACGATGATGTTAGCGCTACGAAAGACTTGCACATTTGAAAGACAGACGACAGGCAGTCGTCTGTTTTTCACAGGTGCACGTCCTTAGTAGCGCGAAAATCGGCATGTTATGTAATCACCGATTCGCTGAAAAACACGTTCTTATAATGCGCAGATAACTTATCGTGCCTTTTTTTGCCGTTGTAAGCCTTTGGAATTCTTAGTCGGCGTTTGTGGTGTGTTCACTTCTTTTTTTGTACCCTTGTTTGCACGTCCTGTCATTCAGAATGAATACTTAACAAGTATTCTAGCTCTTTGTTATTTTATGGTTGAAAAGCGCATACGCTACATCCGTAAGGGACACACTGAATGGGCATTTTGGATTTTGCTGCAAGTTGCGTGATTGACAAACGTTCAAAATTCTGTGTCAACTCGGTGTCTATTGCAGTACAACTTCGCCCATCATACACACCATCATAGAGATGTGGCTCACAATCTGTTATCGATTTACATTACTAGGAGAGCGGTCACCTATACGTGTGCCTGTATTCGCTGGGAGATAGATGAACAGTATAGGCCACGTAAAACAACAGCTAGCTGTAGACCTTAATCCAATGCCCGCCGGCACTTTTGATCGCACATGATGATATGTGGGGTTTAACGTCCCGAAACTACCATATGAATATGAGAGGCGCCGTAGTGGAGGACTCCGAAAATTTCGACCACCTGGGGTTCTTTAACGCGCACCCAGATCTGAGCACACTGGCCTACTGCATTTTCGCCTCCTTCTAAAATGCTACCGCTACAGCAGGGATTTGATCCCGCGGCCTGCGGGTCAGCAGCAGAGTACGTTAGCTACTAGACCACCGCGGCGGGGCCACTTTTGATCGCAAAAATGCGCTATATAGAGTAGCATTTTTTAGAGAGAGGGGCTCACGGCATTCGGGTCATTGCTCAGCATAACTGACGAAAGAAAATGAAATATTACTGCAATGTACTGCACCGTACCAAAGTGCAGCATTTCATGCTTAAGGCCACTGTCGATAAAGAATTTCGAAATGCAGAAGTCAAATAGAGACAGAAAAAAACCTAAGGTTGAGAGGTTAACTAGTACAGCAATAAGATGTTTTTTATGGTAATGACAGTACTAGCATGCTGTAGGTTAAAGTGAAATATGCTATGTGAAAGACAACAGTTTTCATATAAGCGATGCCTTTCATTATTAACTCCTCAACCAAGTGTGATCGGAATGAAATTTATGGAACAGTAGTATTAAGTGAACCAAAATTAAAAACATCAGCTGGTTGTCGAGATATTGCGCTTCTAAATACGGATGTTGAGACATGATTGTAGTTACGATTTTATTATTGCACAGTGCCCCATTGAACATTGCGAGATAGCCTGTGATACCCAAGGTGTACTCAACCCAGTTCTCTTTTACACTGTGTTCATCTGAAGATCCCACAATCTACACTAACTCAGGTGTAGAGTTACCGACTGCCAGACGATTAGCAATAATGGTGCGATTGCTCCATAACCAAACATTCTAAAAGACAAAAAAAAATGTGACTGTCCATACCTCGTTAATGCTGGTGATGTCCATATTGTAGTACATCGGCATGAATATGAACGCAGCCATGAGAATTGCCAGAGTTGTAGATATAGAACCGTACCAAAAGGTTGAACCACGGACGAACACTTCAGCAGGTATTCCTAAGACCGAAGCCGCTGAGAGGAAGCTCGCCATCATTGACATCGACACTGGAAGCCAGTTCAGTTGCCTGTTCGCCGTTAGAAACTGTCGGTTCGAATTTCCTCGGCGGTCGTGCCAGGCGAAGTACACGCCGATTCCGGCGGACAGTAGCAGGAAAGAAATGAGTACAACATAATCCAAAGTCACGAAGGTATGTGCTGCCATCTTGATCACTTCTCTCCGCTCCTTAGTCTCTGGAAGTTTCGGTAATGCTCTGGCTGGCGCAATGTGACGGCTCTTATTCTTATTCCTGAGATATATTTCCGTTCATCAGTGTTCAGTCCAGCACGTAAATTTTCACGGATCCCGTACCGGTGTGGCTTCACACTCTCCTGCCTGCTATGTTGTGACCCCTCTTATGTCATGCGCACATACTGTTTCGCGCCTCCGTCCTATACTAGACAGGGGATTTGTTTGAAAATACTTTTGCTATATTTATTTCCTTTATATATAGAATTTTATGTACTATAAAGTCGTTAACCAACGTCTTCTCCACTTCTTGCTGCCATGCGCTGTCTCTCCGGTTGTCAAAGCCTTGTTCAGGATGATTTCCACGTACAGATTCCAATATTGCCTTGCTTCCAGCTCAAGATGACATCCTTATCTTACAGAATACACGGAAGTATCGCTTGCTGCTTGATTTCAGAGCTGTCTTACCAAATGAGAAGCCTTATCAGTCAAAGCAGGCCTACTTGCTCTGATTGATGTTTTTCTTTGCGTATGCCTTAATTTTCTTCTCAATACAGTGCCTTTTGCATGAATATTTCTTTTACTCGCACAGTCATTCGATTGTGACTGATCTTGCAAAGTTATGCCCATTAACTTTTTTCCTATAGGTTTGGTACGCTCAGCACTGTAGGTGATAGCGCTTCAGCACTATAAAAAAACCATGGCTCTTGGGAGTGTTAAGAAGAACGTCTGCGTCGTACTAACGCTTCCAAACATTAGTTAAAATATCCTGAACGATTGCAGTCACCGCCGACGTTTTCTACGCAGCTCCCTTGCGCAAAGCTTCTGTCTCGACAGAGTTCTTGAAATGGTACTTCGGATTCAACGAAGACTTCGACGGGGAAGTCGGCTGAAAAGGCGACAAAAACAGCCCAGAGTCATTAACACCGTTTAAAAAATATAACGCGTAGAATCTGACGTTAGTGTGAAGGTGACGCTACTGATTTTTTTTCATGTTCCCGGCTGAGGTCTACTATATGAAAGTCGACTATAAATGATGACTCAACTATTGTACAGTGCCTCCAGACGAAAGCATCACATACTATTTGGGATTAAGCATTACATACATTAGACGTACTACACTTCTGTCCAAGCGTTATTCAACGGTGTGCCACATAATGGCCGTTAAGACAATTTACAATTGTATGCAATCTATCTTAGCTTTCACAGAGGAGCTGTATATGGCTGAGATACCGGCTTTATTAGTACCGCCTGCGTGCAAAAAGTAAAGTTTTGTCAGGGTGCTTGAGATGGTGGTGGTCAGCCATGCTGAATAGCAGGTCTAGATACCACTGCAGTCTGTCGTCAAAAGTGGTAACGCCAAGTGACCGCACAACCACTGCCTTATTGGGTCGAATAGGTGGCTGCCAACACACGTGCGCCCGTTGTGCAGTCGCTATTCGATCATTCCAGTGACTGTAGGCGGCGCAGCGAAAAGTAGCAATGGCGGGCGAGACGGTGATGTCGCGAGCGTTTACGTCAGCGTCACAGAGCGTGAAGACGCGTTCATTGGTTCATGACTACTGAGAGACCGAACTCCATCGAAGTTTTATCCCCGTGTGACAGCTTCGGAGCACGGCTACATGGCGCCGCCTGCGTCGCTGGAATGACCGAATACTCGGGGACAACTTTTCTTGGCAATGAAGGGAAAGCTACACAGGTGGAGCTTCTACAAATGTACCGCTACGCGAAGTAGCTCAATTAGGTCAGCCGTTCCGTACCGCTATGGAAAGTGGTGGCTTTGCGCGATCAGCGTTTCATATCGATGCAGAAGCGGCTTGGCGTTCAGAGTACACGTAAAAGACGTGGCTCTCTCACGCCTTCAGAAATGCGAATTGAGAACGACTAAACAATAAGAAGTATGAATATTTTACTGGTGTGATCTGCGTGCTGTTTCGAAAGGCTACGAGTAAAAAGTTGGCCCCGTAATTGCTTGTATCTCTGCAAATGTCGTCGCAAGACAATAGTCTCGTGTCTGGAGGGAGTGAATAAAACATTTATTTGATGTTCTGCGCGAGCAAATCATTCTGAAGGCACTGCTTGAGACATGAGCGCCATCTGGCAGTAATCTCGGAAAACAGACATTTTCACTGAAAACTCGAGCCCCTGGGCGCCGCCATAGTCCTCTCTGGACTGTTAATGTTGTTAACATGCGCGACCACCCAAAAATGCAGGGCCGAAGCTGCGACGTCTGCTTTTGTACTCCCGTGCAGCAGTCCAGAAAGGAGGGGGTCCTTCTCTCCACAGAAAAAGTCGCAAGCGCGCGGCATGTGCGCGCAATCTTAGCAAAGCGCAGGACACGCCGGCCTTTTCGTGCCTATAGCGTTGCATTGTCAGCGCAGCGTATTAAACGCTACGTCCCTTAGAATTACTTATATATGCTTTTTATATTATAAAGAAATACACCACAGATATCAACGTGTTAAGGTTGTGCCTCAGACAAGCGCAATATTTCATGTTAGTCAAGAATACACACAAATAAATACGCCGAAATATGAACAAGATTGGTGAGCGCCTCGGATGTAGTTGGATTTTAGCCGTTTCGGGCGATAAGCAGACAAGTCGACCGACAGACCCAAATTTTTTCGTCGAAGTAACCCAAGAAAGACTATCGTCTTTAAAAGCGAAGGCCACATTTCTTGTCATATCACGTTGAAAATAACGACGCAGACGTAGAACTACATTCATTTGCGGTAGTATGCGCGATTTGGCTCTGCAGCCTTCGCTCCATTGTCAAGAAAGGCCCGCCGCGGTGGCCTAGTGGCTAAGGTACTCGGCTGCTGAACCGCAGGTCGCGGGTTCAAATCCCGGCTGCGGCGGCTGCATTTCCGATGGAGGCGGAAATGTTGTAGGCCCGTGTACTCAGATTTGGGTGCACGTTAAAGAACCCCAGGTGGTCAAAATTTCTGGAGCCCTCCACTACGGCGTCTCTCATAATCATATGGTGGTTTTGGGACGCTAAACCCCACAAATCTAATCTATCCATTGTCAAGAAAAGTTGTCTGCGAGTATAGTTTATACATGCTGTCCTAATTTCTCCGGCAGAATATGACAGCGTGTGTGGCTATTTCGTACGAATCAATGCTGGCATCTAGGCACTGGAGCACAATGAAAATAAACCAGCAGCTGTCGTGTATTCACTCTGATTTGACGCGCACGTGCCTCCAGGAAGCCGCAAAAAATGAATAATTGATATGTGGAGGGTAACGTCCCAAAATCACCGTATGATTATGAGGGACGCTGTAGTTAAGGGCTCTGGTAAATTTGACCACCTGGGGTTCTTTAACGTGCACCGAAATCTGAGCACATGGGCCTACAGCATTTACGCCTCCACCGGAAATACAGCCGCCACAGCCGGGATTTGATCCCATGACCTACGGGTCAGCAGCCGAGTACCTTAGTTACTAGAACACCGCGGCGGGGCGCAAGAAATGATAAAAATAATTGAAGGGTTCTTGTGTCCACATTATATTGGTGTCTTATATTGGGTCTGAAAAAAATGTCTTCTCAACAGTTCATTTCTAGTTAATGAAGGCTGCTTTAGAGTTGAAGATGTAAGCTTGGTCTTCTTTAGCTGTCTTTAACACTTTGACCTGAGATGGCAAATACCGATGACGATTGCGCACGAAAACCTAAGCTTATGGGGAATGCTATACAAAACGGTGTACGTCACGAGCCGGAGAATGCGGTCTTTTATATGAGATTGTCGAGTAAACATTGCTTAATGTGCACATCGATGGTGGTGTTGTCATCTATGTGTCGCGGTGTAAACTTTACAAAGTGTCTTGAACGTTTATACGCCCGTTCAAAGCCACACATTGTGCACCAAACTGGATTTCGCCGTATCACCTCTACGGCATATGCTAAACAACCTCACCCATCATCCACCTTCAGAGAGTAGAAAAGCCCACATATTTATGACTACCCTTATATATGTACTTCGAACACTACTTGCTGTTAGCACTATTAATCAGAAACTTGTTCTTAAGGCAATAAACGGCGGACACTAGACACCAAGGCTGAACTAAAGGGTCACTTCTAATACCTGAGGCTGAAATCATCCCCTGGCAACAAAATCGCAGCAGAAGATACATGGACAATTGAGATACGAAAAGAAGGTCAAGTATCACATGATGAATCGTCATTGAATTTGCAATAATAAGCCAGGGCGAGTAAGAAGCACAGAGATAAGTTATCTGAATAAGCGCTGGCAACAATCTAACCGTTGCAAGGCGTTTTGTATTTTGGACACACAGCTGAACAGAGGTGTTTCGCCTCGAACATCTCATAAGTTAATGATTTTTCCTCAGAGCCATGTCCACGTTCAGTTCATAGGTGGCGCCAAGTTTAGAGGAGAAATACTTGAAACTCTTGTGAGACGTATTTTGAGGATAGAGGAAAAAAGTAGAAAATCTAAGGGCTTCTTTTTGTTAGACACACTAATATTCATAACTAACAGACAATGCTGCCACGGAAAGACTTATTTAAAGAATAAGTTAATCCCGGAACACATTAATAGGATAGCGGGGCTTCACATAGTCGGCGTTCTGTAAGTGTGCATAACGTGGACATTAAACTATTCGCGTAAATATTGTACTAATACACTGGCCAATCACTATAGGTACCTTTGCGTATTTGAGAACTGAAAGTAACTTCCTAAAGCTGATAAATATTTCAGACAAGGCACTTTTTGCACTGCACGCTTTATCACGGCATCTTTGCACACAGTCTTCGCGCCCGTTTCCAGAGTTTGTTGCACCGGTCAACCAAATAACATCGGCGAGCCAACACGTTAGCGTTGTTTCACGGATACTGAATTCAACCATAACATACAATAAAAGGCGTCAAGTTCTTATGTAAACTTCCTTATACAGAGAGATCTGCGTAGTCGACCGAGCACATCTGGTGAATTCCGCTCCAGTGTTTAATTCAGTACAAGCCTGGCGAGTGTACAACACAATTGCCGTTCTTTGTTTATTGCAGTATAAGTTTTATCTGCTGTCTCTGTCTGTGGAAAAGCGCTTTAACCTACAATTGATGCTATGCTCTTAGAGGTAGAACGCATTCCTAAACAGTTAACTTATGCTGTGAAGAAAGTGTAGTAACCTTAGAAAAACCGTAGCGATATAAATTATGTACAAACCATAATATTACTATAGAACAGTTTCGTAGAATTAATAAAGAATACAAAAATTGGTTCCTACGACTAAACGTGCATCATTTTCACTGTGTTCCTGGTCAATCTCGGCTAAATACTAGTACACAATAAAAATGATGCCGTTATATCCTCCTATTTTAAAGTTCCGTGCTCCCAAGCTGCAGATGCAGGAACTAGCGCCTTTTAAAACACTAAACCGTTACCGTTCTTCAATAATCAAAACACATGACAGCGGAAAACTCGCATCATAATTGGATTAACTTGTAAACTTCATTAAATCAGAGAAGCAAATTAAATCACGGCTTGTATGCCTCGTCCACTATAGAGTTTCCTATGAATACACTAGAGGGAACTTTGGCACTAGTGTTAAAGGGAGGTGCAACGCACAGCGCTTCATTCAGCATGGGAATGATGGCGAGCACACAAATTTGCTTAGTCTTTCCTATCTATTGTTTTTCTTCTCCTTTTTGGGCTCCATGTGGCCTCAATTCGTTTCGCCCCAATACGAAGTTCAGCGAACGTTTAACAGTTACGCTTCACCACCTTGACCTCTTTAGGCTCACCAATTCCGATAGGGTGACCAAGTTCTCAAATGTCCGTTATTTTAGTCGAAATAAAACCAAAACACAACAATAAACAACGCCAGAAGTATGTTCGAAGACCGCAAGCATGAAGACTAGGCAAATATG